GTGTCTGCTAATATAGTAACTTGCACTTGTGTAGTGCGTGCAGAGTAGACTAAAACACATAGTCTTATACTATAATCTTGTAACAAAGGAAGGATTTTTGTAAAGAAGGGGTAATTTACAGAGCGTGTGTCTAAGTAATCTAAAGGAGATTATTTAGCAGGAATAATCTAAGGCTCTTGTACTAGTATAAGGTCTATTACTAGTTCTACTGCAAGGTACAGGGCGCTCTCTATTGCTTGTGCGCTCTTGTTTATATTTACTTATAGGATCCCTAAGTTGTCTAGCATTCTAGGTTTGCTTGTGCGTTTAGTGTAGCTTTATAAGCTGCTATAGAAGCTAAGTAGTCTCTAATTGTTAATTAAGTGTGAAGAAAGTAATCAAGTTCCTTGTTCTATCTAAGGTGCTAAATAAGCAGAATATATACACCAATGCTCATCTAGCTATACCCTAATTAGAGCCTGAATCACAGCTCTAAGCTATACCTAATTCCGCTCACCATGGCGTGATAGATCGCCAGTGTCTGATCGGTCCAATATCCAGATGCAGATCACGTGATATGCACCCTCACCTCGATCCTTGCTGCGACAGCTGCACGTTGTGTGCTATCTGCAGTGTGTGCCTCTTTGCAGTTTATGCACATAGGTAGAGTGTGTGCACAGGTCTTGCCTCTAGCATTGCACGTATTACACTTGTGGAGTGCTGTAGTGTGCTCCTTTGCACAGATTTTACAGGTAGTGCTGTGGAGGCACCTAGTCTCTGTGTGGCTGTAGCGCTGGCAGTTTTGGCATTGTGTAGAAGGGGGTGTAGCAATAAATCTTTCTGCTTTAATGCTAGCACTAAGCAGGTATAGTCTATTTCTAATAGCCTGTTGTGCTTCCTTCTCTATTACAAATGCTACACAGACAGAGCCTAGTTATTGTCTCTCTCTCTTATCTCTACTTGTTATCTAGAATAGGTATCTAATAATAGTTAGGCCTCTATTAAAGGTAGTAATTTCTATCTTTAGCACCTATAGGTCTTAGTTTGTTGTAAGAGATGTAGGGATATTATGTAGGATTACTTTGTGCTAGGGCTCTATAGGGAGTGCTTCCTTATATGTAGTAATAGATTGCTAGATTGCTTAATTTTTAAGAAGGTATTTTGTAGTAAAGGTAGGTGTAGTAGTAAGCACAATATTCTTTCTTAGGCTTAGCGTAGCAGAGGCAATAACTAGTAATACGCGCGCTTCAACAGCGAGAAGCAGCCAACGTCAAGTGGCTGCAGCAGGTGAGATGAGTGAGGTGGCATGCAGAGCGTGTAGATATTGTTCTCCTTGCAGAGCTCTTGAAATTCAAGAGAGTGGTGGCTCTCGTGGCCATCAAGGATAAGCAGGCGACGTGCACCTACGCAACGAGTCTTAGTGTGGGCGTGAAAGTGCTTTAGCCACTCAACTCTAAGCTCGTTATTCGTCCAGCCATTGTCGCTGACTGCAATTACCTAGTCGCGTGGGATCTCTGCCTGCTTGTACCAGGCAGATAGGTGATATTAGCCAGCAAAGATAAGGAAGGGTGGGATTATCCAGCCAGCAGCGTTGATCGCAGCGATAGCTGTTACCCAGTCGCGATTACCAGGCTGAACAGCCTTTGGCCGGCCTCTCCTCTCTAATCTAGTCACGACAAGCTAAGTTGTAATCTTGCCCATTATAAAGCCAGCCTTATCAAAGTTATAGACGTCCTCATCACAGATACTGTACTTGGCCTTTGTCTGCTCCACGAGCCTGAACTAGTCTTGGATAAGAACAGGGTCCTCGCATAGAGCTCTCTGCCTGTCGTACGCTCTGTTGAAACGCGTTGTGAGAGAGTCTGTACGCTTGACAAAGTTGCGTGGCCAGTGGACGCCGACGTGACCTGCGCTGCGCGCAGCTAGCAGCTTATCAGCCATATCACGTACAGCTGCGTACGTAGGCGCAAATCCACGTTGATCTAGATCCAGTATATAGCTTGTGATCACCTCCTCCTCGCGCTAGGTAAGCTTCTTTGAGTTAGGCTGGCAATCGCGTCATGAGGGCCTGCCAGCGCGTCAGTGGCGGAGCGTTGCTTCAGGAACGTTGTAGATCGTGGCAGCAGGACAATTGCCCTAGATCTGTTTAGTGTTAATAGATAAGATAGCAAGCTAAATATCTGCTTCATTTAAAGGCAATTGAGTAACGTTGCGTGGAGCCATTATACGTTGAGATAGAAGAGGCAGGCAAAGTTGGTGGGGCGCGTCGCTTGCTTGTACGCGTCGCTCGCTTGTAAAGTACATTATAGAGAGTAAGGATTTAGTTCTCTAGGCAATAGTCCTTAAACTCCTAGTTAAGATAGCTCTTATAGCTGTCTAAGATAAGCAACCTATACACTCCTACCTAACACGTCTTTATATACGTGTTAAAGTACTTTAACTACTTAAGGCTAAGTGTGTTGTTTATCTAACTATTCTTAGAGACTAAGAGCTTCTAATTATAGGGTATATCTGTCTCCTTATACTAGGCAGAGATGTAGACCCGTCCTTTATAGATAATAAAAGGCGGGGTTGCATACCCAGCGGCGCAGATGCTCTAGATAACAGTAACCTACTCGCGATCGCCTGGCTGAACAAGCTCTGGCCAAGCACGTCTCTCTAAGCCTGTTACAACCTTAAAGATAAAGCAACGCCTATCTAGAACCTAGTTTTATTAAAGTTATGCATATTGTTATTACAAACACTATACTTAACTTAAGTATCCTCTACTAGCTTAAACTACGCGCTAATTATCTTAGGATCTTCCTGTAGTATCCTCTGTCTATCCTTGGCTTAATTAAAGGCCATTTTAAGCTTGTCTAAACGCGTTACAAGCCTGCTAGCCTATAGTTTACTAACAGGCTCTTCACTACACACACTAAGTATCTTATTAGCTATATCTGCTACCTTACATAGCTAGGGCGCAAATCCTCACAAATTAAGGTTAAGTATATACTAGACAATTGTCTGCTCCTCTAGTATAGCAAGTTTCTAGCAATTAGCGCGTATATCTAGTTAAAACGTGATATTGCGAAGGCAATTAGAGACCCACTAATAAGGTACGTTCAACGCTCTAGCAGCACTGCAAATACTGCGAAATTGGCTAGCGTAGAAGGCCTGGATAGCAAGGATAACTCTGCCTTCTCTAGTAGTATTCTGAAGTTGTTGTTGTTGAGGCATGTTGTGTTAGGGTAAAAGGTGGTTGTGCCAAGAGAAAGTGGCTGGTTTGGTGATGTAGTAGTCTGGCCAAAGGCCAATAAAGGATATCTACTTCCTAACTACTTTTGCTAAAAAGCATGCACAAGTTAACTAGACGTCTAGTTAACTGCGTAGATAATATATATCTAGCTTAAGCCAAGCCGGCTAAGCTAATGTAACCGGCTAGCTCTAGCTCTTCTTTAGCTCTAGAGTCTAGACCGTTACAGGTGATATGGCCGGCTCGGTGATAATCTACGTTACCCTATTCTTACTAGCCTAATAAGTAGACCTCTAGGAGTAGAGAGTAAGGTTAGAAAGTAGAAAACTAAGCAAAGGCTTATTGCTGTCTGTTGTGTAGGTAGCTGTTTTTTTAGGTTTTAGTGTTATTGTAGATAAGATCTTTGATAAGATAAGATTTTCTGATAAGGGTGGGTAGTCTGTGCAGTGAAAATTTGAAAATTTAAACAGGAGGGCGGCACTCTTGCACCAGGCAGCGCGAGTCAACCAGGTGTCTAGAGGCTCTGGGAGTCTCAGGGTAGTATATCCCAGTGGGGTTGAGATGAACGCAGGCTCGAAGAGAGGTATCCGGAGAATTTGTGTTTTGATGTTGTGTGTCAATCAGGGGGAGCAGCCTACAGGAGATAAGACTTATAATACACAAACAGGGGAATCTAACCTACTCTAGCTTTTATTTAATAGACTAGAGTAGGCATATATAAGTAGTACCTTTAGCAGATAACAGACAACTGATTTCCTTTATTTATAACTAGAGTATAGGTTCTTACTATATATCTAAGAATCTACATGTACTATTCCCTTACACAGAAAAACTTGTAAATTAATAGAGCAGCCTTACTGCTCTCGTCCTATATAGTCTTAGACTCACACAGGACGTTAAACTAATCAATCAATCAATCAATCAGAGCCCTAATCACGGCTCCAAGCTGTACCCGATTCTGCTCACCATGGCGTGGTGGATCGCCAGTGCCTGATCGGGCCAGTATCCAGATGCGGATCACGTGATATGCACCCTCACCTCGATCCTTGCTGCCACACTTTTTGAATTAGTTCCGTAGTGGTGGTGTTATGGCGGGTTGAATTTAAGACAGTTACATCACAACCATAGCGGGGTGGCTCGACCCGCGAACTGGCTCGTTTCGCGCACGGGCACGGTACAGGTTGTTTTGCCCTGCGCAGCGCCAAAGTGGGCTAATAGAGGCCATAATGGGGTGAGGTTTGGTGTGGTCTTGGCAAAAGTGAGCGACTCACCCGTTGAGCGGCTCGCCCTTTGGGTACGTTACTACACTTTGCAGCACTAAAGTGGGTTGTTTTGGGCCATGATGGGGTGAAGTTTGGTAGGGCCTTGGCAAAAGTGACCGACTCGCCTAGTGAGTTGTCTGTGGGGTACGTTATACAAAAATATCCGTGCGCAGGAAGACCCCGCAAGTCACGGGGTGTAGCCGGCCTTTTGCAAACAATAATAATTAGCATAACGTGGTCCACCACCGAGCGGATCACCCCACCGAGCGAATCACCAAATGCAACTATATATCTTTGAACGTGAATAACTCAACACAACAACAAGATATAATAGTGCGTAATAGCTTGAATTAATCGCCTATCTCTACTGTATCTTTCTTGCATGTACGCTTGTTGTGTCCTGTGTTGCCACACCTCCTGCAGCGCGGAATACCCCTGCTGCTAGCACCTGCCTGCACTCTCCCCTCACGCCTCTCTACTTCAAGTTGAACCTCAGCATCCTTTTAGGTAACTATTACCCCTGCTTCTACCTGTAATAGAGTCCCCCCCTTCTATATTTGCTTCTTCTTACGCTTTTTACGCTCAGAAGCAGCCTAATTTGCTTGCTCAAGACTATCTATCTAAGCTTCAAGCAACGTGTGTAAGTGTACCTTTAAAGTTAACCCCTTTTTAACCTGCAGCACTATCTTAAGAATAGACTTAGGTGAGGAACTCCTATAGTCCCTTATCCTCTTAAGAATTAGCGTTGTTTAAGCCTCTATTTCCTAGGCGTTGCTTGGTGTTTTAGGCTGCTAAGGGGTACTCCTGGGTAAAGGTAGTGTTAGTGTACAAGGCTTTACTTCAAGCCTTAATAGCACCACCTCTAGGTTATCTAGAACTAAGCTAGTTACTCTAAAGCTTGATAGGATATTGTCCTTTAAGAAGGCCTAGTCAAATACTAGGGTAAGTGCAGCTAGGAAGGCTTTCTTGTTAATGTAGTTAATATAGCAGTTTGCCAAGACTCAGATCTCCTCCTTGTACGCACGCTTTAGGGGGGCAAAGCAACCTACATCAAGCAGCTGAAGGATGTGTGAGGTGTAAGGGGGCATACAGAGGGTGATGATATTGTTCTCCTCACAAAGATCCTGGAAGGCGAGTGACTTGTGGCTCTCGTGGCCATCAAGAATTAGTAGTCTGTAACCACCTACTTTCTTAACCTCTGTGTGCTTAATAAAGTGCTGTAGCTAGGCAAGCCTAAGCTCATTTGTTGTCTATCTATTATTACTAACCCCTATTCTCTAATCCTAAGGGTTATAATACTAGGCCTAGTTGTGGTTCTTAGCTTTAAAGATGATGAAGGGTAGGATAACCCACCCTGTGGCGTTGATAGCAGCAATTAACGTCACCCACTCCCTATCACTAGGCTGAACCCCAAGTGGCTTAAGGCGCCTCTTAGAGGCTGTGACTACCTTCACAGACCCCCTAACGCCTATCTAGAAGCTAGTCTTATTAAAGTTGTACGTGTCTTAATCTAGGATACTATACTTGGCTTTGACGTTGCGTACAAGGTTAAACCAGGGGCTGATAATAGCTGGATTACTGCAGAGGACTCGCTGGTGATCACGGAGTCGAGTCACCTGAGATTTGACCTCAGGCCGGCGTTGGATCAGCCTATAGGCCCAGTTCTCCCCAACCTGGCCACCACTACGCTTAGCTAGTAGCTGGTCAGCCATTCCACGGACGTGGCTAAGCGTAGGGGCAAAGCCTCTAGCGTCAAGCTTCCTTATATATTGTATAACTGCCTCCTCTTCATGCTTCTGAAGCTTAGATGAGTTGGGGTGGGTATCGCGTCGTGGGGTTCTTCCGGCGCCTTGATGGCTAAGTGTACTTTGAGGAACCTTGTAGATAGCAGCAGCGCGTCGCTGGCTTAGTGACGCGTTAGATTTCATTGCTTAGGTAGCAAGTATAACTCTATCTGCACAGGAAAGTAATTCAAGATTAACTGGTTGAGCCATTGTAATTGATAGTAGAAAGCGTTGTGGTCTTGGCAGAGTGATTCGCGGGTGATCCGCTCGGTGGTGGACCACGTTATGGGTGATTTTCGAAATACCATGTACATCATGTGATTTAGCGCGCGGAAGATGCGGACAATGTCAATGTTGCTGTCTTAGCACGCGTGCCTCTACGAGCCTAGAAGTACAGTGTTCAGCTAGTAGAGTCATTATCTAGATAAGGTTGGCAGCCACGCGTAGATAGTGATGAGAGGAAAACGGCAGGCCTCTAGGGACAGATGGCTCTTAGGTAGACTGGCGGATGGGTACCATGTACCTAGGGTAGGGTATAGGTAGGGTATAGGTCGCACGGACGTAGGTATAGGTAGGGGAGGGTCGCACGGACCATAGGTATAGGTAGGGTAGGGTTGCACGGACCATAGGTAGGGTAGGGTAGCACGTGACTAGGTATAGGTATAGGTAGGGTAGCACGTGCTAGGTATAGGTTTGGTTTGGGTATATTACTAACCTAGTTTGTATACAACTAACCCTAGGTTGTACTAGTAGATTCTTTCGCATACACAATACTTAGA